GCGCGCCTTCCTCTGTCCGCCTGACACCACCCGCGCGCCTTCCTCTGTCCGCCTGACACCACCCGCGCGCCTTCCTCTGTCCGCCTGACACCACCTGTGCGCCTTCCTGTCCCTCTCTAACACACATGCGCATAAATGAGTGTACGCGCGCACACACACTACTTACGGACAGTCCTGGGAGCATAAAATCCTGCAACTGTTTCTGGGTGTCTGAGAGATTAACTCAGATATGTGCTGACAAAATACCCTTCCCAAAAGGTTACCATAATTAATAATCTCAATAGTATATGACAGTGCCTGATTAGCTCCATACTATCACCAATTTTTTTTTTTTTACAAAAGGCCAATCTGAGAAAAATCATGCATTTATTGACCACTCATATATTTTCTTCTCAGAACTATCTATTCATATTCTTAGCCTACTGGGTTATTCACCTTGTTTTCATTAATTTGTAAGAATTCTCTGTTTATATTAGAACTTTTTCAGAGTAAGCTATAAACCTTTTTTCCAACTTTTAATTTTTTTTGCCATACACAAGTTTTTTTTGTGTGTAGTCAAATAAATTACTTACTTATAAATATATATAAATCTTATTTCTTTCATAATTTGTTGGTTATAGGAAGCTACAGACAGGAAAGGAACTTGCTAGCCTTCTGAGCAAGACTGGAATGAGTTTCTTTTGTTGCTGCTTCCTCTCTCCCGGCCCCAGGCCATTTTCTCCTGTGTTACATCAAGGAGATGAAGAGGGAGTGCTAGGACCCTGCCATAGAAATAAGCCCTTAATAAGACGATTTTCCCATTTCTTGAATTATCCATCGTCATCCCAAATTATTATGTTTCAAAGTAAAGGTCTGCTGACAGGGCCCTCTGTCTACTCAGAGATCTGCATGGGCTTAATGCGTGGAAAAAAAATACTTGTCTCCTCCTTGGATGTCAGTCCAAATTTCATTTTATTTTGGAAGATTATCTTGGTAGTCTGGGATGGTGCTCTGGCCATTCTCTAGTTGCACTGTGGAAGGATTTCCTTCAATTTTTAATTCTTTTGATCCATTCAGAAGGAGTGAAAGTCACGTAGCTATGAACTCAACTATATCTTCAAAGGAAGCCTTGTTAGGCTATATTTGAAGTAAGCTTTCAGTAAACTCAAGGTAAGTTGTGAGAAAATTTTAAACCACTTTTGTAAAAGTTATGTTTTTAAATCAGTGCTTTACTCTTCAAGAAGTCACAAAATCCAGTACTTCCAGGTCATAAAAAAGAAGTCACTATGTTTTAAACTGGTGGCTTTTCTAGGTTTCCTTCCAAGTTTTCTATTTTTATAATCATTTAGTATGTAAGATATTCACAAATATTAAAATTGTTTAAAGTTTTGTTTCAGAATGAATAAATTTATTTAACTCTTCAAGTCATCATTGTAATTCACTGTTTATCTAACAGGACTGCTGACCACTGCAGAAGGGTGCCATATTCTGCATCTCCATAGACCTTCTCCTTCTCTGTGTTTTTACCAACCAGTAAAAAAAAAGAAAATTGTTCTTGATCTTGTTTCCTAGAAGTTCAACGTGTCACCTGCAGATGCAATAATATGATTCGATTCCAAAAGCTGCTAAAATCTTAGTTTTACAGTGTATACCAATCACAGTACTTCATCATAAGTAGCCTTATTTATATATCTTGTCACTATATCTTATTAATAAGACAGAAAAACTTTTAAATGACAGCATTTCAAGTACAGTTGTTCTGTCACTTCTATGAGACCGTAAACTCCTCAAAGCAAGGATACAATTTCTTGCTGCATTACCACTGCTCATATGCATGTAAACGCAAACTAGTCACTGGGTCAGAGTTTCACAATTTCTAACCAACAAGAATTATTTCCATTTTAAATGTGAGAAAACTGAGTGCCAGAGAGATTACATAACTTGCCTACAGTCACGAAGCTAGTCACAGCTGGGAGGTCAACTCAGATCTATCTAAATGCAAAGCCAATGCTCCGTCTATTACACCACACTGTCTTCTCCAGTTAAATGCAGATAAAAAAGGGAGATGTTTCACACGTGTATCAAAGCATACTGGAGATGGTTTTAAAAAAAAAAGGAGAAGAGGGGAAAACTACGTATAAATAAAAATATCCTCCACTTAAGAAAAGGAGTCCAGAGCAGGGTTATGGGTCAAAATGTCTCTATACAGGGGAGTGTAAGTTTCCTACCTTCAGTCTCATATGCCCCCAATGAGGAGTACAAACTGGTATATCCCCATGGAGCGAAATTTAACAGTATTTATTTGAAAAGTTTATCCTTTGACCCAGCAATTTCACCCCCAGCAACTAATCTTGTAGATAGACTCCAACGATGATTTAAATGTCCATCATCAGAGAATGATTTATATACAATGAAGTATTATGAGGGTATAAAACACAATGAGCTAAACTTTTATATGCTAATATGGAAAAAATTCAAGATATATTGTATGTGTGTACAAAGATTTATAAAAGTTTTATAAAAACCTGTAAATAGCTGCTATCTCTGAGATACTAAGATGAGTAAGATGTGAGCAGAAGGGACTTTGACTTCTTGTTGTCATTGTTGTTGTTAGGTGCTGTCGAGTCGGTTCTGACTCATAGCAACCCTCTGCACAACAGAATGAAACACTGCCCGGTCCTGCGCCATCCTCACAATTGCTGCCATGCTTGAGCCAACTGTTGCAGCCATTGTGTCAATCGATCTCGTGGAGGGTCTTCCTCTTTTTCCCTGACCCTCTACTTTATCATGCATGATGTCCTTCTCCAGGGACTGGTCCCTCCTGATAACATGTCCGAAGTATGTAAAACATAGTCTCACCAACCTTGCTTCTAAGGAACATTCTGGTTGTACTTCTTCCAAGACAGATTTCTTCACTCTTTTGGCAGTCCATGGTGCATTCAATATTCTTCGCCAACACCACAATTCAAAGACATCAATTCTTCTTCGGTCTTCTTATTCATCGTCCAGCTTTCACATGCATATGAGGCGATTGAAAACACCATGGCTTGGGTCAGGTGCACCTTTGTCCTCAAGGTGACATCTTTGCTTTTCAACACTTTAAAGAGGTCTTTTGCAGCAGATTTGCCCAATGCAATGCGTCTTCTGATTTCTTGACTGTTGCTTCCATGAGAGTTGATTATGGATTCAAGTAAAATGAAATCCTTGACAACCTCAATCTTTTCTCTGTTTATCATGATGCTGCTTACTGGTCCAGTTGTGAGGATTTTTGTTTTCTTTATGTTGAGGTGCAATCCATACTGAAGGCTGTGATCTTTGATCTTTATCAATAAGTGCTTCAAGTCCTCTTCACTTGTAGCAAGCAAGGTGGTGTCATCTGCATAACGCAGGTTATTAATGAGTCTTCCTCCAATCCTGAGGCTCTGTTCCTCTTCATATACTCCAGCTTCTCAGATTATATGCTGCTCAGCATACAGACTGAATAGGTATGGTGAAAGGATACAACCCTGACACACATACATCCTGACTTTAAACCATGCAGTATCCCCTTGTTCTGTTCAAATGACTGCCTCTTGATCCATGTACAGATTCCTCATGAGCACAATTAAGTGTTCTGGAATTACCATTTTTTGCAATGTTATCCATAATTTGTTATGATCCACACAGTCGAATGGCTTTGCATAGTCAATAAAACACAGGTGAACATCTTTCCGGTATTCTCTGCTTTCAGGTAGGATCCATCTGACATCAGCTATGATATCCCTGGTTCCACGTCCTCTTCTAAATCTGGCTTGAATTTCTAGAAGTTCTGTCGATACACTGCTGCAGCCGCTTTTGAATGATCTTCAGCAAAATTTTGCTTCCATGTGATATTAATGATATTGTTCGATATTTCGCATTCAGATGGATCACCTTTCTTGGGAATAGGCGTAAATATGGATCTCTTCTAGTTGGTTGGCCAGGTAGCTGTCTTCCAAATTTCTTGGCATAGATGAGTGAGCACTTCCAGTGCTGCCTCCATTTGCAGAAACATCTCTATTGGTATTCCATCAATTCCTGGAGCCTTGTTTTTCGCCAATGCCTTCAGTGAAGTTTGGACTTCTTCCTTCAGTACCATCGATTGCTCATCATGTTACCTCCTGAAACAGATGAACGTCGACCAATTCTTTTTGGCATAGTGGCTCTGTGTATTCCTTCCATCTTCTTTTGATGCTTCCTGCATCATTTAATATTTTCCCTATAGAATCCTTCAGTATTGCAACTGGAGGCTTGAATTTGTTCTTCAGTTCTTTCAGCTTGAGAAATGCTGAGTGTGTTCTTCCCTTTTGGTCTTCTATCTCCAGGTCTTTGCACATGTCATCATAATACTCTGTCTTCTGGAGTCACCCTTTGAAATCTTCTGTTCAGCTCTTTTACTTCATCGTTTTTTCCTCTTGCTTTAGATATTCGACATTCAAGAGCAAGTTTCAGAGTCTCTTCTGACATTCATTTAGGTCTTCTCTTTCCCTCCTGTCTTTTTAATGATCTCTTGCGTTCTTCATGTATGATGTCCTTGATGTCATTCCACAACTCGTCTGGTCTTTCATCATTAGTGTTCAAAACGCATCAAATCTATTCTTGAGACGGTCTCTAAATTCAGGCGGGATATACTGAAGGTCATATTTTGGCTCTCACAGACTTGTCTTAATTTTCTTCGGTTTTAACTTGAACTTGCATATGAGTAACTGATGGTCTGATCCGCAGTCGGCCACTGGCCTTGTTCTGATGATACTGAGCTTTTCCATCATCTCTTTCCACAGACGTAGTCAATTTGATTCCTGTGTATTCCATCTGGCGAGGTCCATGTGTATCGTCACCGTTTATGTCAGTGAAAAAGGTATTTGCAACAAAGAAGTCGTTGGTCTTGCAAAATTCTATCATGCGACCTGTGGCATCGTTTCTATCACCAAGGCCATATTTTCCAACTACCGGTCTTTCTTCTTTGTTTCCAACTTTTGAATTCCAATCAGCAGTAATTATCAGTGCATCCTGATTGCATGTTTGATCAATTTCAGACTGCAGAAGTTGACTTATATGATTTTGCACCAGCATGAAATTTTTAGGATGTACAAGAATTACTTTTATAATTATTAAAAGAAAAAAAAAAAAAAAAGATTTAAATCTAACTTGAGGACATTAAGAAAGGAATGGACTCACAAACTACTTCAGTATATTATTTTTAAGGGGCGGGCAAGAAACTACACATTATGAGTTCCTAACAAAAGATGATCAATTAAAGATGAAAACTAACAAGTATTTCAAAACAGTCTATACATTATACCAGTGTTCAGACACAGAATTTTCCCACTTGTCAAGGTTTTGAAAAAACTACTCCTGTTACAAAACGTGTTTTCCAACTTACACTTAAAATTTTAAGTTATATTATTGAAAAGGTAAATGATATATCACAATGTTTTCACTGTCCAAATTCTATGATGCTTCTAGCTATGTCTACAGGATCCAGACTTACAGAATTACAGGAGTGGAAGAAGAAATCTAAGAAGATACATTATTAAAAGTTACACTTCACCTGTAGTCAGAATACAAGATAAATTTCTTAGAAACTTCCTCATTTAGTCCTAGAATTTTTTGTGTTTATTACTAAAGTATTTAATAAAGGTTTCCATTTGATTATTATATTATGTTTAACAAAGTAGTAAGTCCATGTTACACAGCATAAGGCTATTTAGCAGTACTTCTGCTACCTAATGGATGTAAATTTCTTTAGAAAAGCCATGCCTGGTTCTATTTTAATTGCCTGGACCAAACGACTATAATAACTTATTTCCAACTGGCAAAGCTTTCTGTCAAGAAATTCTCTCTTCTTCCACCAGACTGAGTCCAGCACAACTAGATGGTGCCTGGCTACCACCACCAACTACCCTGACAAGGATCACAATAGAGGGTCCTGGACAGAGATGGACATAAATGTAGAACAAAAACCTAACTCACAAAAAAAGACCAGACTTACTGGTCTGACAGAGACTGGAGAAACTCCAAAGCCCCTGGAAATCCTTTTAACTCAGTACTGAAGTCACTCCTGAGGTTCTGCCTTCAGCCAAAGATTAGACATGCCTATAAAACAATGAGACTAAATGGGCACATCAGCCCAGGGGCAAGGATGAGAAGGCAGGAGGGGACAGGAAGGCTGGAAATGAGGAACCTATGGTTGAAAAGGGGAGAGCGTTGACACGTCATGGGGTTCGCAACCAATGTCACAAAACAGTATGTGTGTTGTTTAATGAGAAACTAATTTGCTCTGTAAACCATCTAAAGCACAATAAAAAAAAAAATTCATTAAAGAAAAAAAAAATTCTCTCTTATGTCTCAGTTAAGTGTGATAATCCTTAGACAAAACTCACTTTACTATGCGTAAGTAACAACCATTAAACTTTCAAATTTCTTCAGTTACTCCTAAAGGATAAATCTAAATTCCTTCAAACCTCCTTTTATAGGAATCTAAACTGCTATGCAATGTACCTCAATTTCAGAGATATAAAAGTGTAAATGCTAAGATGTAAAACTGATAAAACGTAACACTTTTTGTTTTTCTAGCCCTTTAAGCAACATCTGCCCTTTTTATCTTAGGAAACTGATTGTTTTGGGGACATGGGGTAAAGAGCAGATGAAATGTGTCTTAGTTATCTAGTGCTGCTCTAATAGAAATACCACAAGTAGACGGCTTTAACAAAGAGAAATTTATTCTCTCACAGTCTAGGAGGCCAGGAGTCCAAATTCAGGGTGCCAGCTCCCGGGGAAGGCTCTTTCTGTCGGCTCTGGGGGAACATCATTGTCATCAATCTTCCCTGGGTGAGGAGTTACTCGGCACAGGGACCTGGGTCCAAAGGCCGCGCTATTCTCCTGGCTCTTGTTTCTTAGTGGTATGAGGTCCCCTGTCTGCTTGCATCTCTCCTTTATATCTCAAAAGAGACTGACTTAAGACAAAACCTAATCTTGTAGATTGAGTCCTGCCTCATTAACATAACTGCCTCTAAGCCTGCCTCATTAAGATCATAGAGGTAAGATTAAAAACACACAGGAAAATTACATCAGATGACAAAATGATGGACAATCACATAATACTGGGAATCATGGCCTAGCCAAACTGACACACATTTTGGGGGGACACAACTCAATCCATGACAAAATGGGAAAAATACACCCCACTCTTAAGCCAAATACTAAAAACTTATGAATTAGGATTAATGAAAGGTTACTTCATGTAGGAATGTGCAGTTTCATTTATATGCCTCTAGGTTCTCTGCCTGTTAAACTTATACTTACAAGGAGGTGGCATATAATGTCGACATGATGAGAGCGAGGCTTGTGGAGGGGGCTGGGGCTGGGGCTGCGCAACCATGCTCGATCCATAGCTGTCTATTGATAATGGTTGACTCGGGGCGGCGGCAGCAGCCTGATGGCTAAAGATTGCAGCTCGGGAAGAAGAAACAGGGCAGCAGGGGTCAAACGCAGATGCTCCGTGAAAACCACTGCTTCCATGACTTCTGATACCACTGCTGCTCAGGTCCACTGGCAACGCCTGCTGTAGAAAGAGGAGCTATGTTTACCTTTCTCAAGTGTGGTCAAAACATGATCTCATGTTGCGTTATAAAAGTACTCTAATGTAACCTAGAAAAACAGAATCTTTGATTTAAAAACTGAAAATGGTAAAATTCTTAGCGTTTGACTATCTACTGAGCACCAAGAAAATACTTGTATGTATCTCAGATTGAGAAAATTATAGTGGTTTTATACTTAAAATTTAAACTCAATTTTTAAAAATCAAGAATAAGATGATACCACAAGAAGAGCAAAATTTTAATTAATATATTACTTTAAGGTCTATTTCTCTTAAATCATCTAGATCTTACAAAAGAAAATTTAAAATTGTATGTGCATATTCTTTTACCCCAAAATTTTGATTTGTAATTTAGGACTCCATTATATATATAATCACACACTGAGAACATTAAGGATCTCAGAAAAACTGGTCTGTCCCAAGTTTCTAAACTGTATACAGCAAGCATTCAATTAAAACGCTTCGTAGCGCAAACAAGTCTACATTATCCAAGATAACAAAGGGTGTAAGATAATTCAAGGGACAGGCTAAATCATGACCTAGTTTTGCTTTAAAACATTTTCACTTTAAAAAAAAAAAAATTAAACCACTGATTACTTTTATGAGGAATATGATTTTAGGAAAGGCCCATTTACTAAACAGTCTAGGCTCTATCTCTACTCATCAGTAGTTTTGGTTATTTTTTTTCCCAAGAGCAATGTGAAAAGTTCTAAGTGAAATAGTTTTATCTTCTATTCCATAGCAGACTACAGAAACAGAACTGCTTCCTTGTCTTCTTGAGTAATTTAAGTATAAGCCCACTGGTCTAGTATTCAGTATAGCTGTGCTTTTCAAAATGTGATTAAAGACAAAGATTTGATGACATCTACAGAAGCACATGCAGGCATTATTCGCACTGAAAGCTGAGGGCAAGAAGATGGAGAAAGCTGGAATAATGAACCCATCTGCCAGAGCCCCAGGTCACAGCAGTCTTTGTGCTTTTCCTGGGCTCAGGGGATAATATAAACAGAAGGATCACTGGATGCTAGAAGTCAAGAAGGATGACAGTACAGCAGCAGAGGCTTAGTGAGGGGGAAGGAAGAGCTCCTTTCTCCTGTATTACAGCTTACCATCAATTCAGTAAACGTCTAAACTCTTATTCTGAGTTGGTAAATACAATGTATGCCCTCAATTCAGGTAAATAGAGTTTAGGAATATTACTGTAAGGCTGTGAATTTATATTTATGGACAGTTCTTTTCCTGCTATTTAGGCTAAAAATTGGCGAACGGACTAGAGTTATCAACATCCTATAAAGTAAGCAAGTTTCCTTCTCTCTTCTTTTCCGATCAATGATGAAGAACACTCCTAGAGAGCACGTAAAGTAGGGTCAAAGGCCTCCCAGAAGGAAGCAAGGGTCAAGTGAAAAGTAAAGAGTAAAAAGAAAAGGAAGAAAACAGTGCGGACTACATATATGAGAACCCTCTTCTTCACAATCCCAACAATTCTTTCAATTCCTATTCTAGAAGGAAAAAAAAGAAGCAACGGCAAGATTGAGACGGAGAATGCTATCAGTCTACACAGATCAGAAATGATGCCTAATACTAATTGCAGATACTCTTTTAACCTCTAAGGAACAATCAGGGCTACAGAGTCAAGTGACCACCGCAACCTCTCTGTGGGCCTAATCCTCCGCAATCTTTCTTTGCCTATCCACAATCTGGTGCTCAGTCATCATAAGACATCTACACAGTCCCAAAGCTTCAGATCAGTTATTTTCTTTTCCCATTCCACAACTTTCTGCCATGCCCAAACAGGTCTCAAATGGAGACTATATGAGGTTATCTCATGAGCATGAGGCTAATTTCAGAGTCCTCCAAATGTCTATGTGAGTAGCAAACTGTTCGCGTCTTCTCCTTCTTACCCATTACCACCACTGAATGCCTGGGATGCTGCTGACTGCCCCGAAGTTTTGTCTGTAGTTCAACTACCTCGATTTAAGGTAGGTGAATAGCTTACACCTGTCTGACACTGACAGCACTGCAGAAGAGACTCTACACGTACGCAGTTAACGAAGGCTGAAAGAAATGCTGCACACACAACTGTGCTGCACTACTGTACTAGTTCAGCAACAACACAACAGCCCTCGCACGGAAAGCCCACACTACTTTCTGGCAGCTCGTGAAGGAACGTGGGAGAAGCAGGCAGACCCACTTCCTCACCATTTTCTTACTGTACTTACAAGTCCCCTTTATTCAGCCCACATTTTTAGTAAAAGGAACTTTTATTTTTAAGCAGTCCTTTCATTCAGTCCACTGAAAAGTTCTTCCTGATGCTTCCCCATTCCCCAGCAATAGACCAGGTCCAGACAACCAGAAGATTTTAAAGCTGAGAACTGTTACCAGAACTAAAATGATATGTAAAGTCTTATCTTTAATAGTATTTTCTTATTAAATCCTCTCAAATTTTCTCTCGATACCAGCTACTTTTTTAAGGGACTACCCCTTCTTCTTAGTTATTTTTAACGTGTCAAGCCTAGAGGAGACACCCATCAAAATTTTAAAAAGAAAAAAAAAAGAAAGGACGAAGCAGGTACTTTAGAGGAGGTCCGGAGATACAGAAACACAGTTGCTCTGTGTTTTCTTTCTGGTTTTAAAGTTTTCCTAGTATATTATATGTCGAAGCTACAATTTCTTCCTGATATTACCTTTTGTGGTTTTTAAAGCATGCAGTACGCAGGTTTATATCAATTATACACAGAAATGACACAGAGAAAGTTAAAACAGCGTATTACAGCCAATTTCATTTACTTCATATGAACACCAACACTAATATTACTGCATATCTCAAGCTAATAATAATAATATAATAGTTATAATAATATTATAACAACTAATATAAACTACCTTACTTTAGAGTCCCTGGGTGGTACAAACAGTTGACGTGTTTGGCTGCTAAACAAAAGGTTGGTGGTGGTTTGAGTCCACCCAGAGGTGCCTCAAAAGAAAGGCCTGGTGACTTACTTCCAAAAAAAGCAACCACTGAAAACCCGATGGAGCACAGTTCTACTGACACACGTGGGATCGTCATGAGTCAGAATCAATGGCAACTGGTTTGGTTTTTTTTACTTAATTTTTGCGGACATTTCAGTTCTCTGTTTGGTAGGCAAAGAAATTCTTTGATGCCAAATTAAAAACCTCATCCGCTCCTTAGAAACTATGACACAGGTTTTGCAGCTGAGAAAGCTGTCTATTTCTAGCTGAGGAGAGGTAACACAGCACTCTAAAGGGTAGAAAGGAAAAAACTGGGAGAATTTTCTAATTTCTCATGATGAGGCTGACATTATGGCTTCATCACTATGTTTGAAATAAAATCCCAAAGATCAGACTGACCTGTATTTGACTAAAAATATCAAAAACCACTCTAAAATAAAAACTGTAGTTTTCTGCTTAAGGAGCACTTCTGATTTTCCAGCTCTCTGATCCCCTCAACTAGCTGCAACTGAGACCATCTGAAAATCCTAGGAAATTTTTTTTTAAAAATCACAGAAGACCACTAAACTAGGCTATTATCACATGAGCAGTCAGAATATGATTTATAAAATATGTAAAACTTATCATTCCTTTTTTTCCCCTGAAACCACTACAATTAAAAAAAGCCCATTAAGTTCCACACACCTGGTCATGGTAGCTGCTACCAGAACTACTATTTGCTCCACAAGGTGCTTGCACTTGTGGAGGTCTGTCCACAAGGCAAGCAGGGTCGCTGAAGGAAGGAGAAACCGGGACAGCTGGGTGAGCAGGATGGTGGTGGTGGTGGTGGTGGGGCTGAAAGTGGTGGCCGTGCTGCTGAAAGCAGCTGGTGTGTGGATGTGCTAGTGCATGGTGGCTCTGGGAGGGTCCTCCACACGGCGAGTGCTGGGGACAGCAGGAAGGCAGCCGCGGCATCGCAGGGGGGCCAGTTTCCGCTACCGCGCTCGACACGCTTCTCCTTGAGTCATCTGAGAGCAGGAAAAAAGGCACAGAACAATTTATCAAATATCACTGTACAAAAACAGGTGCTATGGGGAAATAAGTAAATAAACAGTTAAGAAAGATTTAAGAAATTCAAATCTCTGTAAATAAAATTGGTTCTCAGTGCCACATTCTCAGCATACAGTGTAATTCTGGACACTGGTCTTTACCGGGATTATCCTGAAAGTCAAAGTTCTTCAAGAAGCTCATATTTACCACAATGTAGATATGGTAACGACAAATAACTAGTCATAGGTCACAGCAAATGATTAGTTACCTGATCTTTTCCTAGGTCGTAACAAATGAGTAGTTACCAGTAAAACTGTGTTAAAAAAATTCTAAAATAACATGTGAGTCCTTCCATTATATGATACAAAGCAAAGGGTCTTATCCTGAGTTCCATTTACCTCCAATACCATAAATTATTCCTACATAATGCAGTCTGTTATGTAACTCTTAAAATCTCACCTTCTTAAGGCATAACCACTCAAACTCAGAACCTATCTGGCTAGGTCTCACTAGCCTCCGACATCTTTTCCTTTCCTCTGGCCTCTAAAGTTAGAACCAATGGAATATAAGAAATGATAAGACTCTGATATTTGGGGGGAAAAAGTGTGATTTATAATAATCTAATGACTCAGTGTCACCTGGTGGGAAAAGCATGGACTAAGAAGGACCTGGGTTCTAAATACGGAGCCTTAGCAGTGCTAACCTTAGTAATTTAACCTCTTCCTTACCTAGAAAACGGGTGTAATCATTGCCTTGGGTGTCATTTTTAGAAAAGATAACATCCGAGTCCTGATTATGCTCTCTGCCACATGCCCGGAGTTATTTTCAAGACATGTCCTTCCCTGCATCAAGAACTGGAGAAGTATCCCCAAAAGGGTCTATCTACTCCAGTGTTTGAAACTCATTTAAGAAGCAGAGCCTTTTCCTCAAATGATTACATGAAAACTATGCAAACAGGTAAAAATAGAGACTTCTAGTTAAATTGTAAGAGTGGAGACAGCTCAGGGCTCTGTCCTTGACACCCTCACAGTAGCACCTAGGGTACCCCCTCAGAAACCTTAGGATTCTGGAGCACCCCTTTTCTGGTCTGTTTCTAGAGCAGGCAACACCAGGTATGTATCTTGCTTCTATTTGGTTCACGATATCTAGCTAATCTCTTCTGGGCCAATGTACAGTCAAGAATCTTCTGGTTACTTAGAAGTAATATAAAATCCAACCCAAACTGGCTTAAACAATAAAGTGAATTTAAAAGCTCACACAAATGCATATGAGTGGGGATGCTTCAGGCTATGGTTGATAGGGTTCCAGCAAATTTCCCTGTAACTCACTTGACTCTGCCCTTCCATACATGTTCTACCATCCCACTGCTAAATTTCTGCGTAAGGTCTGTGATCTAAATCCTGCTACGTAGTATCTCTACTGTAAATCTTCCCTTATCTGTGTTTTCCAAGTTCCTAGTTCAGCCTATGTGGGCTAATCTCCCGAATCCTTTCGTAGGGGTTCTTAACCAGGGGAACTAGAATTCCGGAGTCTGTGAACTTGGATAGAAAAAAATTACAAATTTTCACTAACCTCTAGTTGAAATTTATCATTCACTAAAATTAGAAATGAAATTGACAATAAAACAACAGTAAGAACTTAAATGCTCATATTTTCTCCCTTCACCCCAACAGATTTTCTGCTCACCTCTGGAGATTAGTACTACCTTGTCAGCCTCAGTTCAGAGGTTAAATGTTGCAAGTAATTTGTAACAAAAAAACATAGTGAGGGGAATACTTACTCTTTAAACTGCTAAATTACTACAGATTCAAAGTTAGTTCTCTACCTACATCACTTTCATTAACTCGTGTTCCAAATGTGTTGGATAATCTGGGCGGGGACAGGGTTACAGCTGTCCTACAGACATGGCAGGGCACAGCAGGGACCGCCAAGCTCCACCGCCTAACTCTGCTACGCTGAACCCAACGTTCAGTAACCACTACCCACAGCTGTACCGTCTGTAGCACTTACCCATTATTAGAGTAGCTTTACCTCCTGTCACATCTGCAGGGTTTTCTTTCAGCTCTCATGTTGTACACAGGAATGTCATTTATTGTGTTAGTTCAGAAAAAAGGGTGAAAACATCTGGGACACAAAACCCATTTAATGGGTGTTTCAAATGACCTTCACAGTTCCTTCTACCTCTGAAGGCTTCTACTATTATACATCAAGTTATATGAAGATTATGTGTGATTCAGGAGATGGGCTTGTAACCAGAGCAAGTTATCTGTGGACTGCTAGCGACGTGGCCGAAGTGAGAGAGATGACACTCCCTTGTCCAGAAAGAACATGCCTCCTTGTCTCTGAATGCCGTCTGTTAGAAAATCAGACTAACAGAAGAGGAAGCATAACCAGTACAACCTATTTAAAGCTAAGCACGTAATTAAGGAGTCAGATTATTAACAGTGTGCCTTCAAAAAGAAGACTGTCTTTGTAGCTCTGCTTCCTCAGGTATCACCTTTGCTTGCAATTAAATAATTTCATTTCCTACAGTCCCAAAGCTCTCTCTTTGTTGGTCAGACAAACTAACGTCCCAAAGAAAAAACAATCTTACAAGATGATTCCTCATTCCATCTAGGTCAGCAGTGATCAACTGCCTCTCTTTAAAAAGCTACTAATCCAAGAAAACTACCATAAATTAAAAGACACAAAGATATTCGATTAACTAAATAAAATGCTCTCCTTTTTATTAAAATTTAGCCCAGAGAGGGACCACTAAGAATAGGATAGTCACAAAACTGCACCAGGAGAAATTAATGCCATGGCCCAGTGACATGAAGCTGGTTCAAGTGCTACCACTGTAAATACCAGGACGATTACGGAGATCGTTCGGTTGTGCATGGGGTTGCCACGAGTCGGAACTGACTGGACGGCACCTAACAACAGCAGCAAACATAATGGCATGGCATAGTAAAGGACCTACAAAAGGCAACAGAAAAAATACAGTGGTGAAAATTAAAGTCCTGGCCTTTAAAATAACTTGGTATTGTCTGGCTTTGTTGTTTTACTCCTAGCAACTAGAAGCGTGCCCACAAAATGTAGGTGGCTCTGTAAGCGCTTGCTAAATTTAAGTTAACCTCGTACGGGAGTAAGGCATGCAGGCGTCTACACGTTTTTTCACTTTGTGGCTAGGTGCCAGGAAGAGAAAGATTTCATCTTTGGCCCTCAAGGAACTCATCACCAAGCATGGAGACAATTTAGAATATGAATCAAGCAGAACGACAGAAGTACTACTGGGTTCCACTACCGCATAAAGTGATGCTGCCCCAGGGAACCACTGGCAGTGTCTGGAGACATTTTTGGTTGTCACAGCTGGAAAAGAGGGGGTGCTACTACCATTTAGTGGGTAGAGGACAGGGATGTTGCTACATATCCTGCAAGGCACAGGATAGCCCCCTACAACAAACAACAAATTATCTAGCCTGAAAATTCACTAGTGCTGAAGTTGAGAAATCCTCGCATGGAAGAAGAGTACAGGCTTCAAGCCAGACTGCCTAGGTTTAAATTCTGGCTACAGCAGTATACAACCTTGGGCAAGTCACTTTCTCTCTAAAATGAGAAGAGTTAACAGAACCCGCCTCACAGATAACTACAAAAACCAGAGTAAATACAAAGCACTGACCTGTATTACAAGGTCAAGAAACGTTGGCTATGATTCTGCACTAGAATGCAAGCTCTGTTAGGGCAGAGAACTTAGCTGTTTTGTTCCCAGTGCCCAGAATAGCACCTGACACACAGCGGGCAATTAATAAATCAATGAAAAAGTTGAATATACAAGATATGATGTATGCAAAGATCAAGGAGCACACGGAGAGGTCATGCATATGATGAGTTGTTTGCGCCATCGGTCCAGGGGAGATGTTGCATATGAAGATTTAAAACAAGCAAAGTGATCAAGACACAGAATGGAGAGTCATCAGCATAGTGGTAAAACCCAATGCCGTCAAGTCAATTCTGACCCAGAGAACTGCCTCATAGGCCTTCCAAGGCTGTTAATCTTTACGGAAGCAAACTGCCACATCTTTCTCCCGTGGAGCACCTGGTGGGTTCAAACTGCCAACCTTGTGGTTAGCAGCTGAGTACTTTAACCACTGCACCACTAGGGCAGTGGTAGTAGCTAAAAACACCTGCAGATATAAGATGGGCTGGTGAGAATAGAGCCCTGGGAAGAAATCAAGCTGTGAAAATTGTTGGCAGATTTTTTTTCATATCATGTTTGTTCATTTTGAAAGGAGCCAGAAACAAGGGAAAAGTTTAGGGTGAAGAAGATTCACTGAAGCACACACAGACAGCACAACTGCAGATACGCACGCACTAAGGGACTGGAAACAGTGGAGATGCTTGAAGACACAGGGAAGATACTGTTAAAATAAGGTCAAAGATATGAGAAGAGGTGAGAGATGAAGCATAGACAGACTGGAAGGGACTGGAAAGGACAGGAAGGAGTTAGGAAGAATTAGGAGAGAAGGACAGGTGTGGATATATACGTTTTTATGGAGAGGTTGGAAGCTAAGGGAGCTCATGCTTAAGAACCTTTATTTATTTATTTCCCTTTGAGAGATGGAAGACTTGAGGAAAAGCAGAGAGCTTTGGGATAGCCATGGAAGGGAATAAAAGGGAGCTAAGAGAGAGAGATAATGTACAGAGATATATACTTACTACCAAAGCCCAAGAATAGATACCATAAATTCATGGAGGCACCAATCTGCTTAGTTATGATTTTTACCAGCACAATTTATGAATATGGATAAGAGCAGAGAAGCTGGATGGCTTGAGTGATTCAAGGTTGGAAATATGCAAGAAGGTACAAAGTAAGGATGGATGTGGGAAAAACAGCTGAACTGATGTTGTATAGGGTCTAGGAAGGAAGTGAAGCCAACAGAACTGAATGCCTGTAATGTAGTCTGACAACTTGTACACACTTCTATCACGTTATACAGGGGAACAATTTGGGTTGGAACAAGGTTCTCCTGGGTCTAGAGAAATATACCATGAGCAAATCTATCCCAAAGGTGGTCATCAGTGTAACTAAGAGTAATATCAAAAGAGGGCCGTTAAGGACTGTAATAAAGGTGCAATTAAATTTGATTTGGAGTGAACAAGGGTCTTATCAAAAAATAATAATTAAAAAAAAAGCTTTGTGATGATCTCAAAATATGTTACATAAAATCTGGTAAGGGTAAGGCTACATAACTCTATGGGCCAGACTATGTGGGGCTGGTTTGTCCCTAATATGTGAGCCAAGATGGAAAGTACTTGATTAAAAATAAAAATTATTGAAGAAAATCTCTAAGCATGATATGTAATAAGACACTCTTAGAAATGTTTATTCCAACTTGCTGTGGAGAGAAATAAAGTATGTGAAAATTAGTGACTCAATTTTCAGCGAAATCGCTTAAGAAGGTTTGAAAACTATAGCAACACTTCAGAGCCTACTCTCCAATCTTCACCTAGACAGCAGCTAAAAAAAATGTGAATGGGATCATACAGACAGGTGGCAAAGAGAGAAATGCACTCCTTATTAGATCTCGCAACATCTATAGAACATCAAACGTTGAATTTGAGGTTTAATTTTTTGTAGTTTTTATGCCCTCATATAAAAATAAAAGGACTGAGCAGTAAGGCTACTGATGAGAAAGTGTTTTTGGGTTATTCACTGGAGTGTTCGCAGAAGCGAGACTGGAAATCACCTGAGCATCCATCAATGAGGGCCTGATTAAACACAGTTCATCCACGCGATGAAATACTATTTCTCTGATTTCCTTATACTATTTCTCATTTTATAGCAATTTCTCATTCTGTGATACTGAATACTATTTTTCATTCTGTCTTTACAGAATGAGAAAACTATGTATCAAAATGAAAGACATCTAAGCTATACTGTTAAGTCAAAAAAAAAAGTGAGGTACAAAACAGCATGTATAGGACACTATATTTTGGGTACCAAAGGGAGGAAAATAAAAATATGTAAAAATGGGACAGACTGTTGCACTAACGGCCCCCAATGAATCCTGTGTTCTGGTACGCATGCCCTCATGGGACCCTCTTTCACACTGACTCTGGGCCTGGCTTCGTGACTTGCTCTGGCTTATCTGACATAAACTCAACATAAGCAGAGGCTTGATAAGCTCTTGTACACTGGGGCTGGCCCTCTTGGGACACTGCTGCCAGCTTGTGAGGAAGCTCAGCCTAGCCTTCTTGAGGAGACAGGGGCTCAGCTGCCTGCACTGTCCCAGTCAAACTCAGCACTCAGTCGACCCTTCAACTCAGCACAGCTGCATGCGTGCCCAGGTGTAACCAGCAGAGGTACCACTCAGCCAACACAGAGAATTGTTTGAGAAATAATGAATTTAAGACATTAGGTTTTAGAATGGTTTGTTCTGCAGCAATACTAACTGATATTTATGAATATTTGCATAAATACTGAAACTAAAGCAAAAAAAAAACAACAAAAAAGGGTTACCTTATGGGTGGGAGGAATGGGATGGGCCGGGAACAGAGGTGAGAACGAGACTTCTCAGTGGACACCCTTTTATGCCATTATGATTTTTAAAACATGGAAATAGATTACTTACTCAAAAAAAAATTTTTTTTAATTTTAAAAAAAAAAAGAAAAGAGGAAGAGAAGGGTAGGCTCTGATGTGGCTTCCAGAGAGCTCCCTCCCATTGTTCTGGCATCATCTTCTAGGGCCCTTAGGGAGGCCCGCAGATAGGTTACCTGAAGCAGATCCTAAGTACCGGATGCAGAGCTTATTACCTTTTTCCCTTCCACTGGAAGGTACAGGAAACAAAAGAGTAACTATATGAGTCCATATTTTTTATTACAAAAGCAACATAAGAAGCAATAGTTATTAAATTCTGTGAATTATCTTTGCCAGAAAAAATTACTGACCCACCTTCTTTTCCTTACTTTTTAAAAATTTCTTCTTAAAATCATATATCAAGAAATAAATGTGGACAAGATAAATGATACCTATTACGTTTTGTTTGTGTGTGATGGGGCGTGGGATACAGGGTGGGAGACACGTAAACACCTGCAGACTCTAACACAGCGACAGAAGAGAGTTAGGAAAGAGAGAACTGCAGTGAGAAACCAACTAGCTTAAGTGAGACAAAATCTAGCTCCTAAGGAGATTATTTCTGGATCTCTGTTTCTGCCACCTGTGTTGATAGTAGTCTCCACAAAGCCACCAAAAATGCAGAGTATAGAAAACTGTACAGACTAAGAATGAAAAAGGTTAGAACAGGGCTACATTCTGAAAGCTGACAGTACTTCTCACTTAAGCTCTTCAAGAAGGTTATTACTGCTCCAGAAAAGCAATCTTCAAGTTAAGGAACTAGAACTGTCACACCAAAGGCATCACTGCTTGATGGTTCTTCTCTATTCTTTCTCAGCTATCAGTCACTACAAATTTAAATAATCTAACCTGAAACTCTACTGTACAGAGGCCAGAATCACACAAACATCTGTGCGAAGGCCAGTGATAACCTTTTAATAAATCACTGACGGTTCATATTGCACAGAACACTGGGTTAGAATCAGTTTATCACATGAAAGAGACTTTGGTGATCAACAAGGCAATAAAGAAGAATCAAAGTTAATGCCATTATACACAAGAAGTTCAAGTACCTGAGAAGGGAAACATCTTAAGTAATGTATACAATATTTTAAAACAGGCTTATAAAACTTAGATGTACTAGAATGAGTAAGGTCAACCAAAGTCAGGGAACAATCCTTCTGTCATGTTCAGACTTTTCTGACTTATTAAATAGGCCTCAATATTCAGTACGAATTAAAAAAGAATAGAAAACAGGTCAATTTAATAAAGGAGCAAAATAAATATGATTCCATTAAGAAAAAAATCAGCTTTGAGAAGAAACTGAAAGTTGTCTTCAACTAGTTGACAAAGTATCTGGAAGAGCGAACAGTATCCTATTTCCACTAAAACCCAAATCAAAGAAATAGGCCTGGATTGTAGCAGGGTTTAAGATGTAAAGGAAGAGTTTTTCCCCATGAGGAAGGCCTACCATTGGGTAAAACTCTATGCAACTTAAATAAATCTGTGTCTGTTTATCACAGAAGGTAGATGTCCTTCTGCCTGTGGTGTAGAAGACTACACTAGGTGGCTTTAAAAATATCTTCCAGTTAAACACTGTGACCAAGGAAAAACAAAAGAAGGCATTATACATTCAAAGCAGTTCAACTCGATTTTGACCATTCACCAATTTTTCCTTTTTCATTTAACAGGTTTAAATTGCCATTTAATTCATTTTTTTCCTACCTATTACAATCTATTCTGCACACCACTGCCAGATTACAACCAGCTACCATCGAGTCGATTCTGACTTGTACCATTTAACTCTTGACCTAAAAACAGTTTTAGTTTTTAAAACTCCAATCCCTCATAGCTGAGCTGTAATACTTTGGTCACGCACAGCACAGAATGAAACATGAAATCACAGTCTAATTCCAGTAAGACCACGCAGTTCGCATATGAAATTTATTCTAAGAATATGCTCTTGCTAATGTCTCTAAAATCTTCAACTTAAAACATCCAGAACACTTCTCCTAACAAAGGTAATGACAAAAAGTGGCCCACTCCCTTGTTTTTTCACATACCTCCTATAGAAGTACCAGTGGTAGTATTGCTTGTAATAGGAGCTGAAGTCTCTGACACTGTGGAAGGCTGGCTACTGGTGACAGCTGAAGCAGTATCAGAGGTCTGCTCAGAGGTAGATGGATTTGAATTGTTCATGGAAGCGCTTGTAGTTTGTGATTCCATTCTAGAAGAAGTGGTTGGTACTACAGTAGGCTCTGCAAAATACAAAACATTTACTTACCAATTCAAAAGCAAATTAGGTAAGAGGTTGTATTTTAATCCAAGCTGACATTTTATAATAATTATTAGAATAAGCGAACTTAAAAATATAAAAATCTCTAAAAATATACAGTAAAGAAAGGTTTTGTAAAGCTAAGTTGCAACACCAAACTGAAACGTTACTAAAATATGGTTACCGCATTAAAAAAAAACTCAACACATAAATGCATATTCCAGTAACTTGAGTGATTTACACAATTTTTTGGGTAACTATTATATAAGTTTTCTGATCACAAAGAAAAGAGTAAAAGGAAGTCAAGGTCCCTCTGCTACACCCAGACACATTTTCACAGGCTGTTAGAACAGTGTGACAAATGGCACTTCTCCGGCACAGTACGGATTGTAGAGTCAGAGTGCCCGGACAACAGTCCTGGTTTCACCACTGATAGCATGGCCATGGATAAGGTACTGAACCACTCTCCATATCCTCATCTGTAAAACTGGAAAGTAACAGAACCTTCTTCATAGAACACTTGTTAAGATGAACTGAGACCATGCATATAAAGCACTTTGTACACTTTACACATACTAATCACTTAATAAATACTAACCATGATTTTTAATATCTGCCCCCAATCTCTTCTCTTTCCATGTCATAATTTTTGTAAACAATAACATTCATTAGAGCTTTCTAATAAAAACTAAATTTTGTGTAGCAGAAAGTAAAAGAAATTTCAGGCAGACTTCAACTTATGACTGAGCTATATTTCAGACACCTGTCTATGAATGGCTGTTTAGAATTGAGAGCACTGGGAATAAATCTGTCCAAAGCACAGTCCCAACAATTAGAAAGAAGGAACTCTCTCAGTGTGAGACCGAATGAGAGGATGGACTATTCTATACAATGCAGTGTGGGAGGCTGATGTCTGAGGGACGACAGTGCCTGCTGATCTATATGGGACACTGGA